GAGGGCCAGCCCCCACCTCAGGGAAATGGAGCCACTGTCACTGACCTGGAGGTTGTCAGGAGGCTGCATCTAGGAGGTTTCACTGAACAGATGACTCATTGGCCAAGTTCATGAGCATTTATGACAAAGTGAGTCCTCAGTGCCTCCTGGAACTTGTTAACATGTGGGGTCCTTGGCCTCTACTCTACCAGGTCTGGTGAGGCTGAGCCCCGGTGCAATTGCTGGGAAGAGAAGTTTTCCTTGATGATGTCCTTCCTCTTCCCTACTGTGGTCCTAATTTAGGTCCTGGGGCACCTCCTGCAACCCCTTACCAGCCCAGCACACTTCCCTATATTCCCTCCCTAAAAGGAGTTGCACTTAGGGAACAGCAGTTAGCGTAATGGCTATGTCGCTGGACTCCCCCGTAGTCGACCATGGTTCGAGTCCCGGGCTAGGCGACTTAAACTCACACTGGGCACCTGTGTGTGCGTGCCCAAGATCCCGAGAGGAGAATGGAGGAGAAGGGATTGCGGCGTGGCCATCCCCCATGGGGGGTGATTTCTCGCTTTCTGGCTTTCTTTCCGGCGAGCGCATGAGCCCTATAGCAAAAAACCTCTCCAAAAAAAGAAAAGAGAAAAAAAAAAAAAGAGTTGTACTTATAGATGGCTTCATGACTTTCCTGACAGTCACGTTTGTGATGTACTTCAGTTTACAATGAGTTGCTTTGCTGCTTTAAAGAGTATGTTGGCTCTTTGAAGTAGAAAGCAGCTTGTTGCAGCCTGATGGTTAAAAGGCACTGGATTCCATTGGGTCCAGCAGATGGTGTAATGGTTATGCCACTGGACTCCCACATAGTCAACTGCAGTTCAAGTCCCGGATGTGGCAGCTTGAAACTCATGCTAGATGCATGTGCATGTGTGTCCAAAACCTGAGGAGAATGAAGGAGAAGGGATTGGGGCATGACCATACCCCTTGAGGGGCAATTTCTTGCTTTCTGTTTCTCCAGCAAGCACATTTGCCCTATAGTAAAAATCTCTCTTAAAAAAATAAAATAGGCACTGGATTCTCTTGAACTGTGGCTGACCACAGGTTCAAGTCCCAGGCCATCACCGTGAAAAACATGCTGAGGGAGTGTGCATACGTGCACAAAATCCAAAGAGGAGAATGGAGGAGAAGGGACTGTGTTATGGT